TTTCAAAAGCTGAACTAGAGTCATTATTTACTTTTGCATTCCTGCTATAACAATTGTGATGTTCTCTGAGGCAAATGGATGCCTCTGGTTAAAAAGGGAAGAGTCACTTGGAAGAAAATAAGAAAAAAAAATCACGTTATTATTTTTCAAAACATACCTCCTCCATACCAATTTCTAATCTGCTTAAAGGCTAAGTTATTCGCTCTGAAGGTGGGACTAAGAACAGGGTTTGTTTTTCCCCCCTAACTCATTGGGTCCTTACGAGAGAACAGCGCATTTATCAGATATAAATAAAACAACCTCTAGGATCAGGAAACGCCCAGGAGAAAGGAAGGATTACAGTTATTACTGCTCCAAGCAGGGTATAGATGGCACAAGTAGGTGTCAGAGAGGGTATCAGTAGCCTCCTGTCACCCTGCTAGTCCCCAAGGAGTTCTAGGTCCACTCATCCAGTCAAGGGAGGGACAGCAACTTGGTCAGTGGGTTCCAGCAGGGGTCAGCAATGGATTGGACTGGAGTGCATCTAGCTGCCTCGGAGGCGGGGCTACAGGCTTTCTTTCTAGGACTGTGTGCACTCATGGCTTTGACCTAAAAGGACCAGGCTTTCATGGGCCAGGGCATACATTTCAACAAATGTTTACTGAGCACTTACCATGTGTCAGGCACTGTGATTGGCACTTGCGGTACATCCGCGAATAAAACAAAGATCCCTGCCCTTATGATTTTCTATTCCAGCAGAAGGGATATAGAACATACTAAGTACATTATATATAGTAAGTTAGCTAATAACAGATATGGAATTCATGAACAGTAGAGCAAGCTAAATGGGAATCAAGAATGCTGGGTGGGAGTAGAGGTTAGCCGGAGGTAATAAATAGGGCGATCTAGATAGGCTTCATTGTGCAAATAAAATACAAAGAAAGACTTCAAGGAGGTGAGGTTAGCCAGGGGATACCTGGGGTGGGAAAGTGTTCAGGCAGAGGGAACAGCTAAAGCAACAACCCTGGCAGATGAGATCAAGAAACAAAGGAGACCTGTATGGCTGAAGAAGAGTTATGACTAGAAGGAAGGGGGATGCCAGATCACATGGACCTTAGAGGCCATCCATTGTAATGACTTGGGCTTTTTCTCTGGTCCAGTGGAGAAACAGTGAGGATTTTGAGCAGAAGCATGATATGACCTGCCTTATGTTTAAAAGTATTGTTCTGACTCGTGTGTTTGAGGGATTTAAACAAGGAGCTGCGTTAGGAGGTAATTTTATTAACCTAGGTAAGAGATGATGATAGCTTAGACCAGAGTGGTGGTAAAGGAGGTGATGAGAAGTGGTTAGATTCTGATATATTTTAAAGGAAAAGCTAATAGACTTTCCTCAAGGATGAGCTATGGGAGCAAGAGAATGAGAAAAGTCAGAGTGACTCGGAGTTCTTTGGCCTGAGAGCTGGGAGGATGAAGTTGCCATCAACTGAGGTGACAAAGGCTAGAATCGGGGCCGGGTTTGTTGAGGAAGATCAAGTGTCCAGTTTTGGACATGTTGAGTGTTAGATATATGTCAGACATCTCAGTGGAAATATTGAATAGACAATAAAATAAGTCTGGAGTTTGGGAGAGAGGTTTGGGTTAGAGATTAAAAACTGGGGAGTTTACAGCAGATTTAAAGCTCTAAGGCTGAATCAGAACGAGAGAGAGAGTGTAGAGGGAGAAGAGAAGAAAGGCTAAGACTGACCCTTGGAGCACTCCAACATGAAGAACTGGAGGAGCTGAGGAGGAACCAGAAAAGGAGGCTGAGAAGGTGTGACTAGTGAGGCAGGAAGAAAGCCAAGAGCATGATGTTCTAGAAGCCTAGTAAAGAAAGTATCCAAAAAGGGGGTGGTCCACTTTGAAAGGCATTCATGCAAAGTAGCATGAAAGTTGGGGAGCTGGCCATTGGCACTAGCCACTCAGCAGTCATCGGTGACTTTGATAAGAGCAGTCGCACTGGAGTAGTAGGAGTAAGCGCCAGATTGCAATGGATTTAGGAAGGAACAGGAGGGGAGACCCTGAGTATAGAGCACTATTTCGAGACATTTTCCTGCAAACGGGAGCAAAGAAATGGAATGGAATTTGGTAGGGAAAAAAAATGGGGTCAAGAAAAGTGCATTTGTTTTAGGATGGGGGTGGGGGAGGACCCGCCTGTTTATATGCTCATGGAAATGATCCAAGAAGGAGTAAAAAGTTGCTAATGCAAGACAGAGGTAGGGGAAGATTGCAGGAAGGAGCTCCTTGAAGGAGCAAGGGCAGTGGCATCGAGCGCACAAGAAGAGGGACTCATTTTAGCTAGGAACATGGGTATTCCATCTGTGAGGCAGTTGGAGATGCAGCTCCCCTCCCCATTAAGGCCTGCTCCACATTAAAGGACCCCTGAGTTACTCAGTTACTAGCACAACATCTACGATGGGGCATTTGCTTCCCTGACGAATGTCCAGGTTGGGCAGCAAAAGGAAAATGGCCACCAAGAGATTTGAGGTATTAAATTCTGAGTTTCAAATCATCTATATCTTTTCCCTTAGATTGCTAATATCCCATCATTCCTCTTCCCGGCACCATTTTTAAGGCTGAATGGGGGCATTTTGATCTTAATATCTGGAATGGGATGAGACAGATGGGGTCTTCTAGTCCATGTTGGTGACATCTTGACCATTAGCTCTACTAGTGGTCTTGCGACAGGCAGTCTTGCCTTGTGCCCTGGAGGCCCTGAACATGTATTCAGCCCTGGTCAGAGGACTACTGTGTCTGGCCCATCCTGGAGTAGTTCTTATGGTATAGAGGTAGTTTTTCTAGAAAACAGACCTACTTTTCCATCTTCCCAAGTATGTTGTATAGCTAACACAAAACACGTTTCCAGACACCCATCAGCTTAATGGGTTCAGGGACATAGACAGTGTCACAGTGATAGTCCCTTGGGATATTTATGAGAATCCTCCTTAGCCCCTCACTGTGGGTGTTTTCGTTCTAGGATTAGAGGGCGTCATCACGCACTCTTTAGGCTTCAGTGGCGACATAAAGCACTTTATTGACTAAGAAGTTGTAGGTCAACTTTCCTGATAGTGCCCAGAATACCAGGTTCAGTCCAACAAGAGCTGAAAGGTGCTTTTATCCAGGGCTGTCACTAGGAGATGGCAGTGGCAAGATGCACATCCAGAGGTTCGGAGATCACTGTTCTTTAAAGACTCCACATTCTGCCAGGTCTCTAGGTGGCCTGTCATCTATCAAGGAAGCCCCCAGAGACAGAGGTCAGTCAGTCATGGAGACCTCAAGCCCAGAATGACTGTACTTTGTGCTATGTGCTGACCTGTGTGCTGACTTGAGTCCTTCTGCTTCTTGGGTTACCCCTCAAGGGGGCCCCAACATAGAAGACTGATGGGTGACTAAGTAGATAAAGTGGAATGAGATGCTTGACAAGGCACTGATTCTCCTTCTTAGAAAAAGTCACCTTTGGGGATAAATGCACGTGACACAGACATTTAATGCTCATGGGTCAGAAAGACCCCGGTGCTTATATATGTGCAAATACCTCTGAACGGGCTCTAGATAAGAATGTCACTGATACAATCCACCAGAAAATCCTGAGGGAAAAGAGAACACCAAGAAAAAGGTCTTGCCACACCACAAAGTGATACAAACCTGGAGGATTCAAGAAACCATTGTTAAGTTCGCTGAGTGTGCGGCTGAGCATCAGGTGTGAAGGGGATGCTGATGGTGGGTGTGGTCAGAAATCGAAAGGAAAACACCGACCGTATCAGTGGCAGCAAATAATGGTAGTAGGTGTTATAGCTGAGCCAAGTGAAAGATGCACACAGCAATCTCTATGAGTCATCTGCGGCCAATCTTTTTAAGAGGCCATATGGGAGAATTAAAGAGATGAATGGTAGGAAAGTGACTGCTACTGGAGGCTATCAGGTGTGGTTGATGAATTTTCCTTTAAAGCCACAAGGCACCAGCCATTGCCATGTTGTTGAGGGTCCCAGCAAGAAACATATGACACTCAAATTGGGTCAATAGAAGAGAGTTTAATAAAGGCACCATCTTCCAAGGTGTGAGTTGAGGTTAAACGGGATATTTCAGTATCCTGTAGCTAGTAACTTAGGGTGTCATTCCCATTCCTAGACTTGAAGGGCTTAACAACAGGTTACCATAGCTGGAAGAGAGAGCTGTGTGGAGAGGGTCACCTGACAGGTGCAGTGGTCTTTAGTTAAGGGGTGAAGCTAGCTTGTAGCAAGCCTCCCAGGAAAGAATCAAGAAAACAATGACACAAATCTCATTCTCCGCCTTCCCATGTTCTTTTCTTCCTTGCTCACCATTTGCCAAACCCAACTGGAAGAGAGCAAGAGAGTATTTTAACTGGGCCGGACTTCTGAGGATGAAGAGCCAAGGAAGGTGGAGAGTGGATATAGAGGGATCTCAGATGATATCCAGCAAAATATCAATAATTTTGGCAGGCTAGCGGAATGCCAACTGCCCTTTCTTATATTAGTTTTTGTTTTTTTACAGAACAAAATATCTGCTATTCACAAGACAGGAGACTGTATATTATGTAACTCTATATCTAAGCTACATTCCCCAAGAAGAGCAATCACTCTTATGCAGTTAGCATGGCCAATAAGATCAATTTGTAATTGTAATGCTCTTTTATCCATATTACAGAGCAAGAGCAACACATTTTCACTGTAGAACATTTAGAAACATAGATAAACTAAAAGGAAAGGATAAAACCGTCTTGTAATCCCACATTCTAGTGCTAACCACTGCTAATATTATAGGATGTATTTTTTAAGTTTTAAAATCATGCCTTACATATGTATCTGTATGTGTTATAGCTATTTATTTTCACATAATTTTAGACAGTGAAGTTTGCAATAATAGTACACAAAATTGCCATTATACCCTTTACAATGATTCTCCAAATGTTAACGTTTTACCACATTTGCTTTATTCATATCGCTATCTGTACACACACACACACACACACACACACACACACACACACACACAATTTACACACACGTCATTTTTTCCTGAATCATTTGGTAGTGCTCAACTTTAAAATGTTAACAGGCATGTTATGCCAATACCTCTAAACCATTAATATTCCCAAGTGTAATAGGAAATCCTCAAAATTAAGGATAAGAGAAGAATAATGATAACAGAACCCTTAGCAAGGAATTTCCATCAGACCAGAACGGACTTAGCTAGTGATGGATCGCCTCAGACCTTTGTAAATACCCTGGGGTCTTAGTGCAATCCTGAGACAAGCTACAAAGAGTCCTGAGTGACAGATGCCCAGCCATGATCCTATTTATCGGGATGAGACTCTTTAAACTGGGCTAGCCTCAAAGATACCAGGTGGCCATTAGAGGGCTCAGAGAGCAACCTCTGGAGGAATTGAGCCATATCGTGGGCACCCAATCAAGTGATGCTCTATTCCAAAGATCTTGTTGCTTGACATCCCATCTCATTTAGAGCGTAGTACATCATTGTGAAAAAGTCAATTCCAGGTGTCCAGTTGTAAATGCTTGGTATAGAAGATAGAGAAATTAGTCATCCTGGCCAGGGCATAAACAACCTTTCCCATAATGGAATCACTAGGGAAAGAAGAGGAATTAAGGCCTTCTGTTACCTGTCTGGTGCTGATTTGAGCAGAATAATGCCTTGGGCTGGGTTAAATCATTTTTTTCCAGCATAGCACATCACCTTGAGTCTTGGCATAAAATAGAGCCAGGTGATAAAATGCTTTTCTGGATTGTTTTCCAGAGTTGCGCCTGTTTCCTTGAGCTGTGCAGTTGAGAATATCTGATTGTCCATGCTTCTAAATGCTAAACAGCAAGAGGCTTGGCAACAGGGCCAAAACACTAGAGCACCAATGAGCTGAATGTCAGTAGGCAGGAGCCAGGAGAGTCCAACTCATGCTTATCAAGAAGCAGGCCATGGCTGTCTGACCCCAGACTTGGCCTTGTTTTGAAAGAGAAATTGCATTTTTTTCCCTTATAAACTGAAACTTATAGGTTTCAATTAATTTAGGAGATTGTCTCCTAGCCAAAACGGGAAAGACCATTTTAATATAGTAGTTCCTTGCACAGTGATGTTCTTGAGGATACCTACCAATGTCCTGTAAGAGAGGCTGGCAGTTGGTACTCCAGGCAAGTGTCTTCATAAACAAAGGGCCACCAAGGAAACTGCCCTGTGCTTTGACATCAGGAGGGGAAAATGGAGGAGAAGTGGGTGTGGTGATGGCTAACAAGGAAGAGGGGAGTCAGGACTACTCCCTCACCCCGTTCCTAGTTCCTAGAAGTGGGTCCTCCAAATGCCTGTGGGCCCCAGAGTTAGCAGCAGGGGATGGATGAGAATGGGGGCTACAGTCTTGCTGGGACAGCCACAGTGGGGCCAAGATGCATACACATAAAAGAGCATGTGATGTGAGGACCCTAGTTGGAAGGTAGCCAGGGGGAGAGCTTGACAGCATGTCTGCTCTCAGTGACACTACCACCTTGTCCGCACCATACCTGTAGACAGTGAGCCAAAGAGAGGCGGAGACAGTCTCTTCATGGGCAACCCAGGAGAGGGCCTCTACCTTGATCATTCCTCCTCCCTCCTTCATCATCAGAGGGGCACGTGACAGGGAGAGAGATGGCCTCCCTGCACTCTAAGCCACTAGAAACTAGGGTGACTATGGGGTTTAGGGGAGACTTTCAAATCACATATGAGATTTAAAGTTTGGAATGAACAGCAAGGAGTCATAAGAACTGAAAATGACCGTTCTAATAGATGAATCACTAGGAAAGGAACTTTTAAAAAAAAAAGAACAGATAATAGCAGTCGCTAGAGAAAAATTTTCATTTTATACCCAATAGTTGAGATTCTTCTCTAAGACAATTACCTTAGCCATCCATACATTCATCTCCTCCCCTTCCTAAGACCCCTGGATTCCATTCAGACTCCTCTCTCCATGTTTGACCTCTTAATACAGCAGCAAACTTATCAAGGATGAAATGCACAACAGCCAACATCATAACCTCCTTTTTAATCTATTTCCTCAGTGGCATGAGCCCCAAATGGCCAGGAGGTGGTCTCAACTTCGAATTCAATGGGACCACTGCAGATCTCTTGGTAGAAGCATGTCTTCCCTTGGTGTGGTATTAGGAGCTTTAAATAAGCAAAGTACAAAGTGGAGAAAGGACATAAAAGCTTTGCAAGTGACAGGAGTATCCCCCCGCCAACATTTACCCTGACCCATGTATTCCAGCTTTGGTAGAAACAGCTCATGGACAGTCCTGGTGCCAACCACATGCCCCATCAAGCATCCCTATCCCGCAAGTACTGCTTCCCAGCTGACACCAAAATGAGTTTTCAAAAGCCTTTCTACCCAGCAACTTCTGGATAATGCAGCATAAGATAAAACCCATAGGTCCCATGGACATAATCATCCTTTTGCTCTACTTCTTCTATGAAAGAATGAATTTCTTGGTCCAAAACAAAGTTACATGAGATATTGTGTTAGTGAAGCAACACTAAGTCCAAGAATGATGCTCGTGGGAGAGGAAGGGCAGGTGAGGAAAACAAATTCATAGCCAGAGTGTTTATCCCAGGTGGGGATAAAAGCAGTCCCATCCATGATGGAAGGAATTCGGTGTAACTCATCCACCACCATCCTCTCCACTGCAAGGGCTCAGGTGTCATCGCTGTTCACAGGTTGATAACCTGAGAAGGAAGAAAAAAAAAACACCACATGTTACTGAATCTCTGTATAAGCTCCAGATCTGTCACTATTTCACTCTGTTCATGAGCCTGTGAAACAAGCTCTCAGTGCTGGGCAAGAGGCCAATTCACATCTATAAGACAGATCATTTTACCTACCTGATAATTCAGTAGGAGCCTTTTGGTGAGAGGCCAATGAGGACACACATTCTTACACTCTGGGTTTATTCTGAGCAGTTCATTCATTCTCCATCACTCAGGGTCCCAATAGAAACCAATGGTCCATGCAAATTAAGATAATCCAAGAAGGTAAAGAGGGTTGTTTACAACAGTGTAGACAGCAGGTAAGGAAACGGCAAAGGGTAGACCTAATAGTCTAGTGCCATTAATCATTCCTAGACCCAAAACACAGAGGGAAAAGAGAAGTTTTCAGGACCCAGAAGGATCAAGTCATGTAGAGAGGGTCACTTAGAGGAATGCTGTGACGTTCGTTTGCGATAACCCAATAGGTAGGTGGAAACAAATGAAGAGTGGACCTAGACAGGCACACACGAGTTATTCACACATTTCTTCAAAAATCATTCTGTGCCAAGCACTACTCAGATATTGGGAGCAGAGCAGTCAAAAAATAGACAAAAACCCTTAACCTCATGGAGCTCATAAAATAGAAGTACATATGTAAAATACATAGCATATTACATATTTACAAATAATGAGAAAGGCAGGCAGGGTAGGGGTATAGAAAATATTGGCTGAAGAGAACTAGCGCAGTCTTAAATAAGATGACAGAGAGGGCTTCAGAGAAAAACCTGAACGTCAGGAAATGGCCTGTAAGTATCCGGGAAAAGCAAACCATGCACAGGAAATAGCAAGTGACAAGGCTCGGGGATGTACGCCTGGCATATATGAAAACCAGAGAGAAGGCTGGTAGGCGAGGTGGCTTGAGCAAGACGGACAGGATTAAGAGATAATATCAGTAGTAGTGACTACATACAGTGCCAGGTGGGTAGTAGACTAGTCAGGGGGATCACTTCTTTAATTATATGAATGTCTACCCACTATGCTGGACACCTGAAATTAATATAAAATAATACTGAATGTCAGCTGTAATTGAAAAATTGAAAAGGGGGCAAGGTGAAGGGGAATAAGAGGTTCCAATTTTCTGGTATAAAACAAATAAGTCTTGGGGATGTAATGTACGGCATAGGAAATGTAGTCAATAATATTGTGATAGCGTACTCTCAGATGGTGTCAGATGGCTGCTGGACTTACAGTGACCATGTCTTTAGGTATATAAATGTTGAATAAGTATGGTGTATACCTGAAACTGGTATAATATTGTATATTAGCTATATTTTAGTTAAAATCTTTTTTTTAAATCCAAAAAAATAATATCAGAGAGGTGAAGGCTTGTGGAAGGCAGGGCGGAGGCCACACCACCCTGTGAGGCTTTGTAGAACATTGTCTGAAATTTGGCTTTACAGTAAAACTTTGGATTGCAAGTAATGTGGTTTGCGAGTGTTCCGCAAGACAAGGAAACATTTCTAATACATTTTAACATGGTAAACGAGTGATATCTTGCAATACAAGTAGTTTGTTTCCGGAATGAATTATACTCGCAAACCAAGGTATTACTGTACTTTGAGTGAGATGAGAAACCATTGGAGGATTTGAACAGAGTAGCAGTGTGACTTGCCATGTGCTCACATCATCATTCTGGCTGTTGTGTTGAGATAAACTGATGCGGAAAGGAGGATCCACATTAAAAGGAGACCAGTTAGGATATACAATAAGCCAGTCAAGAGACAATGATGGCTTAGACCATGATGGTAGCAGGGATAGAGGATGGTAAATGTGACAGCAGTTGCTGAAGCATGGATGTGGATGTGAGAGAAAGGGAGAAGGTTGTCTCCAAGGTTTTTGGCTATTGGAAAGAATGTCATTGCTATTCACTGAGAGAGGAAGGAATGTAAGAAGTCTGAGCTTGGTGTATATTGTGCTAGGTGGATATTAGGAGCTGTTTTGGATATGATTTTTTTGACATCCAAGTGCAGATGTGAAGGTGGATATGTGATCAGGATTTTAGGAGAGATGGGGTGATTTAAATATGCATTTGACAGTGCGGTGCCCTGGAAACCAAGGAGAGCTGAGCAGCTAAGACAAGCACTGCTGATAGGTTAAATAAGATATGACCTAAAATTTCCATTGGAAGAAGCAATGCAGGTGACATTTGTAAGAGAAGTTTTAGTAGAGTGTTGGGATGTAAGGTGGTTTGAAGTGAGATCAAGAAAAACAGGAGGAGAAATATTGGCGATAATAAGTATAGACAAACCTTTCAAGGAATTTTGCTATTCAAAGGGAAGGAGAGAGAAGTGGGGTCAAGAAAATGTTCTTAAAGAAATTAAAAATCTTTTCCCCAAACTTCATTGTCACCAATCCTCCAATCTTGAACAACTAAAATTTATCTCAAAAATTGAGCTATGAGTTTATATAAGAAAATCTATCAACAAAATTCACATCATCAATAAACTAAGGAAAAAAACTTACACAACTAGGCAGCAAAAATGCTTGACTTTTTTTTATTAGTTTCAGGTGTACAAAACAACTAAGGATTAGACATTCACAGCCCTCACAAAGTGATAACCCCACCAAGTCTACTACCCCTCTGACATCGTACATAGCTATTATAATACCATTGGCTATATTCCCTATTCTGTACTTTATATTCTGTGACTATATATGTATATTTAATTATAGTTGACATTCAATATTAGTTTCAGGTGTACAGTGCAGTTGTTAGGCATTTATATAATCTATGAAGTGATTCCCCGATAAGTCAAGTACCCATCTGACACCCTACATAGTCTTTGCAACATTATTGATTATATTCCCCATACTGTATTTCACATCCCTGTGACTATTTTGTGACTACCAATTTGTACTTTCTAATCCCCTCACCTTCCCTCCATCCCCCAAATCCCATCTAGCAACCATCAGTTTGTTCTCTGTATCTATGAGTCTATTTCTATTTTGTTTGTTTATTTATTCTGTTCTGTACATTCCACATATAAGTGAGAACATATGGTATTTGTCTTCCTCAGTCTGACTTATTTCACTTAGCACAATGTCCTCTATCTCTATCCATGTTGTGGCAAACATTTGGTTTTTTATAAACACCTATTTATGATGAAAGAAAAAACCTTTCAGAAAATTTAAGAATAGAGAGAAATTCTTCACTTTAATAAAGTTTTATGTCAAAAACAAAGAGCAAACATAATTAATGGAGAAAGTTTAGCAAGATTAAGATGCCCCATCTCTGCTATTGTTTATATTCAACATCCTGGCCCACTTTATAAGGACAGAAAAAGATAAGTGGATGAAAGGATTGGAAGAAAAGAGATAAAACTGCCATTATCTTCCGATGATATGAGCGTTGGCCTAGAAAAACCAACAGAATCAACAAACGATTAGAACTAATTTCTCTAAACCAATAATATCCAACTAGAAAATGTAATAAAAATAAAACATTGTTCACAGCAACAAAGACTGTGAAGTAACTAGGTTTACATGTAATCCAATATCCATAAGACTTCTATGAAGAAAACTTTGAAACTCTAATCAAGTATATAAAGAAAATCTAAATAAACAGAATTTTATCCCCCATGATAAGTATAACACTTATTTTGGAAAAAAACTAAGAAAGCATATAAAGAGGGTCTAAATAGATAAAATTTCATGCTTTTGTATGGCACAACTTTATATTATAATATTTCCCTAAATTCAACTACAATTTTAAGTAATCCAATTCAAATTCTAGTTGGACATTTTGAGGAAGATGATAACCTGACTCTTAAATATGAAAAAGTCAACTTTAAAAACAATAAACCTTAAAAAAAAAAACAAGAACATTGAAGTGGAATTCACCCTACCTTATATTAACAGAATATTGGCTCTTACTACCTGATATGAACAAGTTTTGACTGAAGAACAAATAGACCATTGGAATAGAATAGAGAATTTACAGACAACTATTTATGTATCAGAATTTAACATATGCTAGAGAAAGCACCAAAAATCCATTGAGAAATGAAGATTGATTGATTGATTGATTGATTAGTAGATGATACTGAGGAGACTGGCTCACTATGCCAAGCAACATAAACTGGATTATTACCTAGCATCATCACTGTATTGAGAAGTACAAACTGTATCCTTACCTAACCTCAAATACAAAGGGGGATGCTAGATGGGTTAAAGATTTAAATGTTGAGAGGTGAGGGGGAGAAAGGTATAGAAAAAAAACACCCCAGAGAATATATTTATGTCTGAGGAGTAGGGATGGACTTTTAACAAAAAGGAAACAAACCATGATGCAAAATGTTTTTTGAATGAATTTGTTTACATCGAAATTTAACCTTTCCAAAACTACAATGAGATACCACTTCACACCACTGGAATGGCTACAATTTTAAAAAATAGAAAATAGTAAGTATTGGCAAGGATGTGGTAAAATTGAAACCCTTGTACATTGCTAGTGGGAATGTAAAGTGGTTCAGTCACTGTGGTGTGGAAAATAGTTTGGTGGTTCTTCAAAAAGTTAAAGAGAATTACCATGTGACCCCACAATTCCACTCCTAGGCACATACCCCAAAGGATGAAACACAGGTGCTCAAACAAGTGCATTTACACGTGTGTTCACAGTAGCACTATTCACAATAGCCAAAAGGTGGAAACAGCACAAATGTCCATCAATGGAAGAGTGGACAAATTGTGGTGTACTCATACAATGGACTATTTATTACTCAGCCATGAAAAAGAATGGAGTGATATATGCTGTAACATGGATGAACCACCTCCAAAACATTATGCTAAGTGAAAGAAGCCAGACACAAAAGGTCATATATTGTATGATTCCATTTATATGAAATATCAAGAATAGAAAAATTCATAGAGATAGAAGAGATTGGTGATCGCCAGGGGTTGGACGGGTATGGAGGATGGGA